GAAATGATTGAAGATGATTCGATAATTAGTTTTATAAATAATTGATGGATGTTCTATGTTATGTCTATTCTTCTGTAGATTCTTTATGCAGCTTATCTCACTTCTGCCCCAGCAAGATTGGGCACATCTGAAGTTACTACATTATATCATTATACATTGTGGATTAGGATATGTTGGCTTCTTCAACCACGCCTTTCTCTTTTTGTATACTGAATTGGTAATATAAGTTGGAACAAGGGTTTGTTCTAAAACTGGCGTGTAGAAGTTGTAGATAAGAATCCATGTGTCTTGCAAGAGAAATACAATATAACTATAGAATTGTATATCTATCCTGTCAGCCGCAGGTTGCGGAATATCACGCATATACTTGGAACGGAAAGGCCAAAGAGTAGGACTGGAAGATTTTTAAGGTTTTATAGGAGAAAGACCATGGATAGGCAGGCGCCCATAAGTGAGTGATGTAATCACAAATGGAGTAACGATGGCATCCATAATCAGTCATATATGTATCAATATGCTAGCTCTTTCACACATTGTCAATTTTTGCTTTTTCTTTTTTTCTTTCAAAATTTTACATAACGAACTTAGTGAGGTGAGGGGTAACAAAAAGTAATTTATGCAAACTACACGACTTCTAAAAGTTCTTGTTTGCCCTAACACTTGTCCACTAATTGAAGGCAGAAAGATAAAATTAATTCTCAAACATTCAGCTCTCGTAAGAGAAACCTAGAGAAAATGGATTATATATTAACTTTTACCTCCCACTTTCTGATCATACTACTTTCCGTCTTTCATCATCAATGAAGCAGCATCACCACTAAGTGGGTCTGAAGGATTTGGATGGAGCAGGAGTTGCAGAAGGGAAACTTCAAAAATATTTAAAAGATCTATAAGCAAAAAAATAATAATTTTGTCTTTAGAAAAATCCCTCTGTAAATTTGAAGAACATGAACAGATCGGCAATGCATATCTGAGATAAGAAGAAAACCATGAAAAGATCAAATAGGTATATTATGATTAGAGACGAAACAATTGAAATAAAGGCATGTGTAGAACTGACCAGATGTTTAATAAAATGAAAGTACCCTATGCCATTAAAGTTAATAAGTTGTAAGGATTACTGATACTTAACAAACATTGGACTCCAAGACTGATTAATTACGTCCAAACACAGAGAGCCAGAACTATCAAGATAGAAGGAAAATCAATTTTGTTATTGAAATATTTTTCGGGATTGAGGTTGTCAGGTTCAAGGATGGGATGTATATTTGTCAAAGAAAGCATACATTAGATTTATTGGAAGATGCAGGTGTACATACTAGGTGGCAAATTGTCCAAGGATGCAGGAGAGCTAAGTAAGAATCCGATAATGTATAAAAGGATGATTGGGAAGTTCATGTACCTTATACTGATTAGACCAGATTTGGCATATTCATCACAAGTGTTTTAGTCAATTTATGGAGAGTCCTAAAAGCCATCACTTGAATGCTGCAACAAGGTTTTGAGATACGTAAAGGGAAACTCGGGCCAATGTTTGTTTTACTCAAATTTCTCTGATCTCTGATTTAAAGTTAAATGTTTAAACTGATAGTGACTGGGTAGGATGCTTTGATACAAGGAGATCCATCACAAGATATTATGTACTTATAGAAGATTCTTTGGTGTCTTAAAAGTAAAAGAAACAACAGACTGTTTTCAAGTCATTCGAGGAAGTAAAAATATAACACCCAACCTTTCCTTTTTTCTTTTTATTAATTAGTATTGTATGAATATAATTTATATTTATGTAATTATAAATTGAATTTAATTTAATTTAATGGAAATAATAATAATAATAATAAGAGGTAAAAATTATTTAAAGATTTAATTGAAAACAATTTCGGAAAAA